AACACTCTCCCAGGCCCCTCTTGCCCCCGCAGTCTTACCCCAAGCTGTACCAAACCTCCATCTCAGACCCTGCACCACCTCCATTAATATCATGGAAGAGTGTTGCCCGTGACCACTTACCAAATTATTTGAGTAACACCTCATCAAAAACTATTGCCCATCCCTGAATAAGACCTAAAATCAGATTCCCCCACTAATATGTAATGATATTACCCCTGAATGGGTAACTTGGGATTTTTTTAATGGAGATCATAGCCAACTTGTTACAACAAATGGTCTGTTTTAATCTAGATTGTAACATATTTGCTCTTTTAGACTAATGGGTTACATGAGGCAAGGTGGCAAGTAAGTATCTTTTATAGGACTATTCTGTTGGTGAGAAGGATGTTAAAATGTGGTTAGTTGACTAGTCATTAGAATTTCCATAGACTAGTCAATAGGCACTTCTGCATTCCTCCTGCTGGGGCTCTTGTACATTTCAAAGGAGGAATGTGGGATTCCTTGGAAGTCCTGCTGACTTTGGGCTGCACATGAGTGCCTGCTTTGAAATGCACAAGAGTCCCCAGCAGGGGCTCTTGTGCGTTTCAAAGCTATGGAGGTCCAAGTCAGTGGGGGGCAGCGGCTGCCCCTTTGAAACTGCCCCCTCCACAGGATTCAAAGAGGTAGGAGGGGAGGTTGGGGTCAGCCGGGGAGTCCCCAGCTGACCCCAGGTTCCCTGGCATTTCCCCAGGACTCTCAGCTGTGGAGTCTCCAGCTGACCCTGGGTTCCAGGGAAGTGCTGCATGGAATCTGGGGTCAGTTGGGAATCCCCAGCTGGCCTTTTTAAAGGGGCAGCCCACCACACAGCTGATCCCAGGATCAGCTGTGCAGCTGCCACCTTGAGGTTTCAAGGTGGTGGCACCACGCATTGCCACTTTGAAGTACCCCTCCTTCCCCCCTTGCTGTCTCTGTTTCATGGGGGGGGGGGATTGACTAGTCAACAAGTCGACTAGTCTTTAACATCCTTAGTTGGTGAGAGGCAAGATTTTGGGCTTACACCAAGCTCTTCAGATAAGAAGCAGCTCTGTGAAAGGTTGAAAGCTTCTCTTTGCCCCCAACAGAAAATGGGCCAATAAAAGATATTACCTCACTTACATTGTCTGTAATATCTTGAGACTGACTTACAACAAAAATTGGCTTTTGTGACATTTTTCCTAGTAGTTATGAATGCTTTTTTGCAGAGTTAAACAAAAGTGGCTTTCGACTGTTTCAAGCTGGAAATTGGGGATCCCCACTTTATTCATAGTGCAAAACTGTTGGTCTAGCAAGCCAGTTAAGATGTGATTTATTTTGGTGCAAATAGCATTTGCTTATCTCCCAGTACTATCAGGCTTCTGAAGTGTATTCACTGACAGACTGCCCAAGGTGAAGTGAGATTCTGTAAATTTTGCAGAATCTAGGATTTGGAATAAATTGGGAGCGTTTTTCACAATTCACCCAGATAACAGTTCACATTCTTATTTGAAGTCATTTTACCAGATGTTGTTTCATTGATGTTCTGGTCACTCCTGAATTACGCCGTGCAGGCCTGGTAATCTTTTTGGAAGCGGGTGTTACCTTGGGATGTTTGTACTTATATTTGGGAATGTTTGGGACCTGCAAATACTGATCCTGTTCCTTTTGACTGACCACAGAAGAGCTGAGGGTGTTCAACCTTTGATTGGAATTCGCTAGCCTTGTCTTTGCATGGAAAAAGGTGTTTGGGTGTTTTACCAACTTTTAAAAAGAAAAATCATTATAATTGTGCTGAGTACTCTCTGCCCTTCATTTGAGTCAATTGCCATTAGAGCCCTGCAAATCTGAATATCCACAGCTCATTTTTTGTAGGTACGGATATCAATTTTGGATCCAAACAGGGTTCTAATCATAATTGTTAATGGGATGCAAACACAAAAGGCATAGAGTTTTTGTTCTTTTGTTGTCCCTTTTTAAGTGTGGGTTTTCTGTGTTTTTTTTTCATGTGGATGTCAAAAATGTGGCATTAATACTACAGGAACTACAGCCTGAACTACTTGACTCACATGCATTCTCAAAATCCAATATAGCTTGAAGGGGGTGAGGGTGGGAATGTGACTTCATATAGTAGCAGGTTCAAGGAATGGGTAGGGGAGTTATTTTAGGATTTTAAGACCCCCGCTGTAATTCTGAAATTCAGATTTAGAAAACTTTTTAGGTGTAAAACATTGGAAAAAATTTCCAATTGGGAATTTTTTAACAGATCCAGACTATTGCTTAGAGTGGGAAGGAGGACGAGGTGGGAGAAATCAACTTTTCTATCGCCACTCTTCCCCTATCCACAGTACAACCTGGAACTTGTCCTGCCTTTTCTGCTCCTGTGTATAGCAGGCTGTCAGAAGAAATCTTCATACGGGGGGACGCAAAAGCAATACAACTAGGAAGTGAGGAAAACTCAGGCTGGGAAGAGCAAAACTAAGCTAACTAAAGCTCAAAAATGTAAAGAATCAACTGAGAGAAATTTGCACCAAGATTGAGGAAATATATTAGGGGAAAATCAAATTCTCTGCTCCCTGGTTTTTGGTATTTGAGGCAGTGTACTCGACTGCAAAGGGAATACTGAGCAGCCAGTCTTGGGAAGTGTTGATAAGCTCTTCTGGAGTTGTATCCCGCTTTCCTCAATCTTCTAAGGCTTTTTGCAGTAATATGTGCCCTTTAGAGTTGAAGAAGAAATAAGTTCTTCAAAGACTGACAAAGCAACCTGGGGAGATTCTGCAGAAAGGTAGACTAAATCTAGGGGTTGGGCAAAGAAATACAGAATCATGACGTGGGCTAATAGAATTAAAGGAGAGAGAAAATAAAATCTAAAAACTGCATGAGAGAGAAGCCAATTGCTTAATTTAAGGTGTTGATATTGAGCAATTATCTTTTTTCTCTTTTTAGGTTTCCTCCTGCAATTATTTTTTTTAAAGAGAATACCACTTAGTTGTGTTTACCTCTGTATTTGTATGAACCACTGTGTTGCCAACCTTTATAATTATCTGGCACTGTTAAAGGGTTTAACTTGTTGCACTTCAGGTGATGTTACTCTTGGTGATATAGGTAAAGTGACCCAACCTTTTAAGATATGAGTTTCTTGGATAAAATGTAATATTTGAAATTATTCAGTTAAAATCAATGTTGGGTGTTTGTAGCATAGTATTGCTCTTTGTCTGCAAGTTCTGAGACCTGTGAAGAACAAGAAGTTTGTTTAAAAGTGAGTGCTTAGTTTATGGAGAACATAGCAAAGTCCATAGAAGTTGTATTGTAGAAGACAATGTTTTGTGTTAAGCAGTGGCTTTTGGACAGAAATGTTACTAGAGGGAAGCAATGGGAATTTTCAGTGCTCCATATGTTTCTACGCCCAGGCCTAAAAAGTATATTTGGAAAACCCTGAGTAAGTTGAACTAGTTTTAGGAAGCTTGATCTCCAAAATGTTTTCAGTTTTATCACTATTGTGCATGAAGTACTTTTTAGAAGGAAGTTGTGTTCATATATACATACAGTAAATGAAAGTAGATTTGAAATGACAAAACTAAGTTCTGGAAAAAAAATTAACATTTTGATTAGCTGAATTGGTTTATCAAAACTTAACATGACGAATTCTGGGATGGATTAAGTTTTTTTCTTTAAATATGGATGTGACTCCAGATTAAATGTTCACAACTAATTTTAATAATTAGAAAAATTCTATTAGTTCTCATTGCATGAACCTCTACAATACTACTCATGGTAGATACTTCTTAATGTCTGCTTTTATTTCTTCATGGCTGGGTAGTATATTTGATTACATTTTCCCAAATATAAGAGAATATAGAGGTATTAGTGAGTTAAGGATAGGTCTACACAGCAGGCCAAAAGTCGAATTAAGCTACACAACTTCAGTTGCATAGCTGAAATCAAAATAGCATACCTTGGCTTTTGGCGCTATTTACACAGCAGGAAGTCGAAGGAAGACTTGTAGTGTAGACACATACTCTGGTTTTTTGGAATAATGTCAGTTATTCCGAAATAACAGTACTGTGTAGACATACCCTAATTGAATAGCCAAGGAACTGCATTCATTCTTAGCAGTTACTAGACTATTCTCTAGTCCCTGGGGATGGGGCCAGCAGTCAGTGTGCTCCGACTCCACTCCAAAGGAGCCCTCTGCCACCCCATGTTGCTGCCTCTATCAGAGGCAGCAGCAGTGGGGTGGTATGGGAAGCCAGTTTAAAAACCAGGTCCCCATACAGACCAGCTGCCTGATGCCCTGTGCTGCTACCTCTGAAACAGGCAGCAATGTGGGGTGACAACAGCCCCAGTCCGTGGTGGTGGGGGTTGTCTGAGCTACCCATGAAAAGAGAATGTTGCCCTGGAGGTGTGTGGCTGCCATGAAGCGGCCTCTGTCTGCAGTGAACCTGGGCCCACCACAGGCAGAGGCTGTTTCATGTTAGCCTCTCCTTGTCTCTTCTTCTCCCCCCCCTCCCCCAATCACTGCTGTCTTAGATAGGGGAAGGGGTTAGGTAACACTGCAGTGTCCCTGCTAGGGGGAAATCAGCTTTTAAGCTGGCTTCCCCCCTTTGCTACCTCTCATACAGAAAACAGAAGCAGTGAAGGGAGGAATGCATGTTGTCTAAGATTAACCGATAAGCCTGCTCAGCAACTCGTTTACATCCCTAGAGGAATGTATGACTTCTAGCATAACTGCTCTTGCTGTAGGTTTGAAGTAAATTCTCATTTAGCACTTCATAATACTACTTAAAACATTTACAGTAGGCAAGATAAACACATTAGTGACAGCAAAGCAATAGAGATGTAGCAGTGTTAGCCTAGTCTGGCTGAAACAAAAAACAGGACTATGTAGCACTTTAAAGACTAACAAGGTGGTTTATTAAGTGATGAGTTTTCATGGGCCAGACCCACTTCCTCAGATCAAATTGGAAGTGGGTCTGGCCCATAAAAGCTCATCACCTAATAAACCATCTTGTTAGTCCTGTTTTTTGTTACAGCAAAGCAAGTTTTTCTCTAGGTTGTATGGAAGTGGTTTCAGCTAAAATTAAAACTAATTTAATTCAGCTAATCACTAACTATCCAGGACCAAAACATCTTTTCATAGGAATTTGTAAACTCTAGGAATATGAAGTTAAAAAGAAAAAAAAAATCCTTAGAATTGACAAGTAGAGTAATATGTGGCCCCAAAATGTTATAATTAATGGGCTGCTGATAGATTCAAAGATTATTTTAAATAAAACAGCAGAGTGTTTTTTCTAAACTGGAAATCAATAGGAAAGTTTTAAAAACAAAAAATTCCCCAATACCTTTTTCAAAACAAATACTGTTTTCCAGTGTTTGTAACCCAAGTGTTGCAGTCTTGTAATTGTGTATGAAACTTGAAAATGGCACTGGCTAGAAATTTAAAAACCATAAAATGTAAGTAACTAGGCTATGTTAATTATCCATACTGAGAAAAATGTAAGTAATAAACAATGGTATAAATAATACATTATATTTTGAGCCAGAATTAATATTGATACGCACAATTGCATCTTCAGTTTAGTGTGCAGAATTACCATGGTTGCATGTGAAATACAAAACTTACAGATGCAGTTAGTTTGCAGGCAAATTAAATATGCCCATACTTAACTTTTTTAAAATCAGGCCATCACAATTATGTGTATTAGTGACATAAAGGAACATTATCATGTTGAGTAACTTAATATCTGAATTTTTAAATTAAAAAAGATTATCAGTTTGTTCTGTTTAACTAGATGTGTGTGCATTGGTGACCTTTTGACACTTAAGCATTTTCTTAAGATCTACATATGTGGCTGAAGAAGCATGAAATATGTCAAAATCACCAGTAAATCTTCATCAGTTGCACACTTCATTTTAAATTAGGCATAAATAGAGAATGCAGTTAGCCAATACAAAGATTGATTTGACATCCATGTAAAAAGTAATAGAAAACTTGGTAGATCCAATTCGTGTCCAAAAACATAGTCCAAAAACATAGCCTTTTTTTCTAGTTTCAGTTTTGGCACTAGATTTTATCCTGGAGTTTTAAAATATTCTTCATCCTGTTCTTTTTCTATTAAGGTTAATGTTGAAGAAGGAAAATGCGGAAGTCGTCATTTGACAAGTTTTATAAATGAGAATTATTTGAAGCTCAGGAATAAGTGAAGCTGAAATTTGAAAAAAAAGAAAGTGAATGAATGCATGCTAATTATCAGACCAGAAGTCCCACTTATAGAATATTGAGCAATTTGTGTGAAGTGGGGAAGATGAAAGAAGTCAGAATTTGAAACGGAAGAATGAAGAAAAGGAATAAAAATGAAGTTAAGATAAGAAGTAATCTGGAATCTGAAAGCACTACGCTAAGTAATTACTAGTCTGTTTATGTGTCCCTGTATATTTTGCTAAACATGCATGCATTATCTGTTTAATAGAGAAAGCACATGCAGGGTAAAGAAGTGCCTACCAGGGAAAAATATCTTAAAATCTAGGCAGTTCTAATTTCAACTGCCCGGACACATAGTTGAGATGCAAATTTTACCATTTTTTTTTCACTGGAGCTTGTTTACAGAATTTAGATCACCCAGAAAATTGTGTACAAATTAGACTTTCAATATCTGCATGCAGGAATCCCGTTCTGCTTCCAGAAGCGGAAGTGCTCATGGGTCTGGCAAGTCTGCAAGGCACACTCCGGCAAGATCTCGATCCAAGGAGGACTCAAGGCGATCCAGGTCAAAATCTAGATCCAGGTCTGAATCTAGGTGAGTTTACTCTCAACGCACAAGTCTCTGTCTCGATTGTTTTGAGAGTGGTGGGGTGGAACCTAATCCGGCTAAGCCTGAATCTGGTATTAAAGGGTTAAAGAAAATTTTGAGTAAAAATGGCGTTGTGCCATTTTATTTGCTGTGACACACAAAACGGGGCTGAAAGATGTGATGACCCTTGCTTTTCTTTCTACCTCAGAAATGAGAAGTTAGTTGTTCCCTAGTCTGGTGTGGGTGGTGTGTTTGTTTTTTGTTTTTTTTTAATGTCTGCAGCCTTTCCAGATAGGGGTTCACGTCTTCGTTTAGGGGAGAATTGTGTTACTGACCTGAATTCTAAAAAATTTAAATTAAAAAGCAAAAATAGAGCCTGGTGGAGGAGGTGGGTGTTGGAAGCAACACCTTTCAGACTGTCTTAATACGTTTTTAAAAGCAGAATTTCCAGTTTCTTTATCTTCTTGTCATGTTTAATGTACGCCAAGAGTCTCATAAAGGTGGCTTATTGTACAGTGTTCTATAGTTCCCTTTTACATAAGGTAAGTTTTTAGTAATATCCTTTTCAAAGGATCTGTTTGTACGTTCCCATTCAAAAAAGGTGGATCGCATGAGTTGCTCTTACTAATAAGAAATACTCATCTTGATCTCAGATTCATTAATACAGCTTGATCATAAGTATTTAATTCCCAGGGAACTTTGTAAGCCTTCTGCCATCTGGAGGGGGGGCAGAGAACAGCGTATGTTTCAGCAGTAGGCAACCTATGGCTTGGGAGCCAAATATGTCTCTCTTGGCATATTTGGCTGCTTCCTGGGCCAGACCTGGAGCCAAGCTGTGCTGTAGCTTTTCCTGGGGATAGGGTCACAATACAGTTCCAGAAGCAACTGCACCAAGGCAGTCTGGAGGGGGGGCAGAGAACAGCGTATGTTTCAGCAGTAGGCAACCTATGGCTTGGGAGCCAAATATGTCTCTCTTGGCATATTTGGCTGCTTCCTGGGCCAGACCTGGAGCCAAGCTGTGCTGTAGCTTTTCCTGGGGATAGGGTCACAATACAGTTCCAGAAGCAACTGCACCAAGGCCCTGGGAGCAGCCAGGCAGCCACCACCTAGCTCTGGACCCACCTTCAACTATTCTCCAGGGCTGGAGTTGCAGCCAGGGTGGGCTGCATGATGACTGCCTGGCTGCTCCTGGAGCTCGGGCCAAGGCTGTGGGGTGACTACTCCTGCCTAGACAATGACACCCCCATCTGGCCACAGCATTCTGTCCCCTGCCCCGATCCTGAGGTAGTCCCTGTGGTCCAGCCCCCATCTAGCGGCAGGAAGGTCTGGTGGCAGCAGCCCTCCTCCTTTTCTGTGGCGCGGGTAGGAGAGGCCATGATCCAGCTGTGACGATCCTGGTCTAGCCACTGCTGCCTGGGTGCAGCAGCCCAGGCCTAGCCAGGTAAGGTAATCTACCCTCAGGGCCCTCCCATACTCTGTTTCCCAACTGCAGCACCCTGGCCTGCCTCCTGCACCTCCCACACATCCCAGTCTCCAGCCCTGAGCCCCACATGCACCACGAACCCTGACTCCCGCACCCCTACATCTCCAGCCCCCTACCATAAGATTGACAGAAGACCGCCTGAATGCATGCACAAAGCTGGATTTGACCATTTATGATGTAAACTTCAAAGAAATGTGCAAAAAGATGCAACAGTAAAAGTGTCCTGTTAAATAAAGTCTGAGTACACTGTTTTGTTTATGCTACTTTTAATCATGTCACTTATCAATAATATTTTCAGGCATGCCAATGGGCATTCTTGTATGGCTTTGTTGACCACTTGTTCTGAATTTTGATGGTTTGGCTCTTAGATTTGAAAAGGTTGTCAGCTCCTACTATATATATTGCTGCTATTTTAAGATGTAATTAGTGCCACATTAAGATTGTTTGGGATGTGTCTCACTACAAAACAGCATGAGCTACCAGCTTCCTGTCAAGGTAACTAGTTGTGGTATGAGAGAAGTACTCTTGCAGGTTAAAAACTAGCATAGTAAATGGTAGGAATAAACTGGAAACTTTTCATGTCACTGTGGAGTACCAGAAAGGGCTGTAGGGGAAACTTCTAAATAAATTTATGAAAGGGCTGAACAGTAAACCCGCAAAACTTACAAATCAGACTTTTGTGTTTAAGTAGTGATTCAGGTATTCCATGTTTCTAATTGAAAGAATTAATTTGAACTTAGACACATTGCTGGGTCCTACATTTAATTGTGAACACTCAGGGGAAAGACATGCCTGTCACTGAGCCAGAGGTGGCTTTCATTGAGCTCTTCAGTGTTTGTTTTTATACAGTCAAAAAAGTATGTGAGGCTATATAAAGAATTCATAGAAAAATACTGAAAACCTGCTGTTATGGATTGCCTGGAATATTGTCCTGTTTGGTCACCCTGACACACACAAACAAATGAAAGGAGTTCAGAGAGGAGCAACAAAATGCTTAGGGGTGTGGAGAAGTTATTTGGACTCCTTAGAGAAGCAGTGAATAAGGGGAAATGATAAAAGCACACACAGCAACGAACGGCTTAGAATGGTAAATCCTGCACCCTTGTTCACACTTTTCTGTTATATGGAAACAAGGGGGTATCACGATGTTGAAATACAATGGATTATACGCTACATGAAGAAGCGTCTGTGAAACCCATTGCCAGGAGATACCTGAGGGGCAACTGGAGGATTCAAAAAAGGCTTGGATGTTCACATTGATAAGAACATCAATCAGTCTGTGTGTATCAACTACATTAATAACAAGTAACTGAATGTTGAAAGGATATAACTTTGAGGACTCGCTGAGGTTTTTAATGGTTAATGCTGCAACTTGAATGTTGCCACAAGAGATGCAGAGAATATCCCATGTGAAGTGGCCCATGTTATGTCTTTAGTGTCAGATGCACACCACTGCTGAGCTGGCTTCTGGCGTGTCAGGTCTTCATACTTTGGGCATGTAAACAGACACATCTGGTTCCAGGTCGTCCGTATAAAGTTCTGATCTGTCTTGTACTTGGCCGTATTCCTCTGAGGAATAAAATAAAGTGTAGTTGAAGCTCTCTGAAGTGGAGAAGCTGTGGTTCTCAGAACTGGCACCTTTACTTAACTTTAGATACTGGGGCCAATGCATGTTAGGCACATTTTTTTGTCAGATCAGCAATAGAGAAGACAGTCTGGTGCCAGCAACTTCAAGGGTGTCTCCACCCAAGTAGGAGCCTTCTGCTGACACTGTGGGTTCCTTGTTGCCACTCCTAAGTTCCATCAAGCGCAGAAGCAAGAAGTGAAGCTGAGGGCCTTTGCATCGTGCAACTTGGGTATCAAATCCACTACACTCCAGGTGTGGGCATCTTGTGAGGTGATTAGAGGCCTTAATTTCAGACATATCTAGCTCTTCCAGTGAATTCTGATCCTTGTTTGTTCTGGCTCTTTCACAGTGCTGATCCTCTGATATCGATACCCCCTCTACACTCAGCACAGTGCCTATTGCTCTGTGTGGACGTTCTTAGGGATTTTTCCTTTGCATCTGCAGAATTTACCAATCTCCTGATTATTAATCATGGTTCCAGAGGGCACTTGGTCAGATAAGGGGTCGCACAGTGTGGATAATAGAGGCTTCTTCTGGCTCATTTCAGCTTTGGTTTTTGGGGAGTTGGGGGGGTCACTTTCTTGATTAGGCTCCCGTTGGATCTTCTTCACAGCTACACAGGCTTGTTGGAGAAACATCAGAGTAGATCGGGATCAGCACCCTTTTCAAATTGAGCCAAACTACATCACCATTCAGAACGAGTGGTCAACAAAGCTATATAAAAATGCCCATTTGCATGTCTCAAAATATACAACTTCATATTATTGATAATTGACATAATGATTAATAGCATAAATGAAACCATGTACTCTCAGACTTTATTTAATGGGACTTCTGCTGCTGCATCTTTATGCACTTTTTTTTAAAGTTTACATCATAACTGGTCAATTCCAACTTCATGCACACGTTAGGATGTCTTCTGTCAATCTTATGGCAGGGGGCTGGGGATGTGGGGGTGCAGGAGTCTGGTTGGATGTACGATAGTCTTGGGGTGGGGGGGTGCAGGAGTGTTATGACAGGCACTGGGGATGTGGAAGCATGAGGGGATCAGGGCAGGAAGTCCCGGATGTATGATGGGCCCGGGGCTAGGTTCTGGGGTGGTGCAGGAGTGTTAGATGCTGTGGCTAGATGTGGGCTGGGCCCCAACTGGGGGCTTGTTGGCCATACTTCATTTTTAAATCGAGTGAAATATTATGTCCAACACAATGTTTCAACATTGTCTTTATTTATGGGAGGGGTGGGAACCTTTTTGGGGTCTGGGGCCACTGACCCACAGAAAAATCAGTCAGGGACCACACAAGTGAGAAACAAAAAATAACCCCTTGGCCCGGGGCTAGGTTCTGGGGTGGTGCAGGAGTGTTAGATGCTGTGGCTAGATGTGGGCTGGGCCCCAACTGGGGGCTTGTTGGCCATACTTCATTTTTAAATCGAGTGAAATATTATGTCCAACACAATGTTTCAACATTGTCTTTATTTATGGGAGGGGTGGGAACCTTTTTGGGGTCTGGGGCCACTGACCCACAGAAAAATCAGTCAGGGACCACACAAGTGAGAAACAAAAAATAACCCCTTCAAAAACCCCCAGCACTCACCGATGTGGCCCCCAACTGAGACCCCTCATTTCCCTGGCACTCCAGCCCCATGGACGGGCAGAGAGGACTGAGGTTCAAGATCTCAGGCCAGATTAACTTTTCTGGGGTTCCAGGGTTAGTGGATTTTGTAGGCCCCCCTAAGCTCTGGGGTGTGGCCGGAAATGAGGGGTCCTGTGTGCGAGACAGAGCTACCAGTGAGTGGGATAGGGATTGGGGTGCAGGATGTGTGGGAGGTGGGGTGCAGGAGGGGTAAGGTCTGAGTGGGAGATAGGCACGGGGGGTAAGGTCTCGGGGCAGCACTTTTTTCCCCCCAGTGTCTGTAACAGGGTTTATTAAACAGATGCGAGTCACTCCCACGTGGCAGCCAGCTGCTGCTTCACACTGGTCATGGAAGAAATTAGCGACCCAAGGGCCAAGTGTAAAATGGAGGCTAAGCCTCGCCAGGAGCACAGGCAGTCTGGCCCGCGGTCGCGCTTCTTGTAGCTCTCCAGGCTGGTCAGGATCCAGCCTGCCAGCGCCAGGAACAAGGTGCTCAGGCTGCCGACACACCCCAGAGGCCCCACAGGGCTCTTCGGTGGGTATGAGTGCAAGGTGCAGGCGGGGGCAGAGCAGTGGGGACACAGCCATGGCAGCAGCGGGTCCTTCACAGGCGAGATGGCACTGCTCTCAGGCTTTGTGCCCCAGGCATGGCTTCTCGCTGCTCCATTGGCCAGATTCTGGCCAGTGGAGCAGTGGGAAAGAGCCTGCAAGCTGCATGCCTGTGCGCTGCTTTGTTCCTCCAGGTGGGGGAAGGACCCAGAGTAAGAGGAACCAGCATGCACACATCAGAGCTGTTTGTAGTTCCAGTTTCTTCCCTGATTGCGCAGCAAGCCTGGGGGCTTTCTCCACAGCCCTTCTTCTCCCCTGGAATCCAGCACTGGCTCCAGTCTGGGGGGGGGGGGGCTAGATTGCCAGAGTGGGCTCCCCATTTTGTGTGTGTGTGGGGGCTGAGCTTGAGCCACAAGACATTTTTATTTGGCTAAGTGAGCTATAGGTTGCCAGCCCCTGGTGTAGATGCTCTTTTCCTGTCCTCATTTTGAAGGAAATCTTTTCAGCTTTCTGAAGGCCAGAGGCTCATCATTTACTTTTCTGCTCATTCTGGGAGAGGTAAAAATGCATCAAAATGGAGAGGAAGCAGCAGTAATTGCAGGTGACCCTCTGCACCTTGAAGATGAAACTGAATCTTCAGATTGTACAATCAAGTCTACATCTTTGTCAGTCTAATAATTGTAGACAATGTTGAGACTTGTTGATGGTGGAGGTTTCAGAACTGGAATTCACCACAGTGCAAGAGAAGACTCCATCTTTTCTTGTTGCATTGAAAGATAGCTCTGCTTGACAATGACAGCTTGAGTCTTGCTTTAGACTTTAAACCTCAAAGTGCTGCTGTGACAGCCCTTGAAAGAGAAAATGGCCACGACGCGTTCCCAGTATTCCACGTAAACGGCCACAATGAGGGATTTAGGCACTAGGAGCCTATTTACATTGGCTCTTTACAGAGCTGTAGGTCACTGCGGTCAGGAGTGTTTTTTTTATGTGGATAAGTGTAAAGTAATGCACATCGGGGAAAAATAACCCCAACTATACGTACAGTATGATGGGGGCTAATTTGGCTATGACAAATCAGGAAAGAGATCTTGGAGTTATCGTGGACAGTTCTCTGAAAACTTCCACGCAGTGTGCAGCAGCGGTCAAAAAGGCAAATAGGATGCTAGGAATTATTAGGAAAGGGATAGAAAATAAGACACAGAATATCTTACTGCCCCTGTATAAAACTATGGTACATCTTGAATACTGTGTACAGATGTGGTCTCCTCACCTCAAAAAAGATATTTTGGCCTTGGAAAGGGTTCAGAAAAGGGCAACTAAAATGATTAGGGGTTTGGAACGGGTCCCATATGAGGAGAGGTTAAAGAGACTGGGACTTTTCAGTTTAGAAAAGAGGAGACTGACGGGGGGATATGATAGAGGTCTATAAAATCATGAGTGGTGTGGAGAGGGCCGTTAAATAAAAGTTATTTATTAGTTCCCTAAATAGTTGAACTAGAGGACACCAAATGAAATTAATGGGGAGCAGGTTTAAAACCAATAAAAGAAAGTTCTTCTTCACACAGCGTATAGTCAACCTGTGGAACTCCTTGCCAGAGGAGGCTGTGAAGGCTAGGACTATAATAGAGTTTAAAGAGAAGCTAGGTAATTTCATGGAGGTTAGGTCCATAAAAGGCTATTAGCCAGGGGATAAAATGGTGTCCTTGGCCTCTGTCTGAGGCTGGAGAGGGATGGCAGGAGACAAATCGCTTGATCGTTGTCTTTGGTCCACCCTCTCTGGGGCATCTGGTGTTGGCCACTGTCGGTAGACAGGATACTGGGCTAGATGGACCTTTGGTCTGACCCAGTACTGCCGTTCTTATGTTCACATCTCTGAACAAGGAAATTGCAGCACAATGGTAATGCTAGGGGCTGAAGGATTTCTGACCAGAAAAATTGACTTCTTGGAAGATCCTCACCTAGTGCACATCAAGACTAACTGATGGGTCACTCTGTTCCAAGGCAGGCCTCTGCTTTCTGCATACCATCAGATAAGGCCAGAACGGCAACTTCAGGCATTGTCAGCTGACCTGAAAACCAGTTCTCTTGCTTGTTGGCTAAGTCTCAAGGCAAAGTAGGAAATCATCTTAGTGGCAAGCTTTGTATAGAAATGAAACTGAAAAAGAGAGGACTAGATCTGTCAGCTGCTCCCACCATTGTCTCTTTAGATTCTAGAAGGAATACCTTTAATCTGTTTTGATTACGTCTTCCCCGGAAGTCTGCAGTGGAAGAGTAGATAGTCACTTAAACATAGGTCAAGTTTGGCTCATTTTCTTCAACATCCACGTGGTTTAAGATTTGACAGGTTGTCCAGTAATCTACACCCAGTTTGCATTTCTTAGTCCCTCCTTATCAGTTGGATCTTGTTTGTCACAAAAGGGAAAATGCAGAGACTTCTTTAACAAAGTCGACTATCAACTTGTATTCTTCAGGGGCTTTTCTGAACTCCAAATTTATTTAGACATTGCTGTCGAGGGTCAGGTAAGGTAATATGATGTTGACTGCTGTGTTGAAGTCTGCGAAGACACAGGCATATTGTGGTCAGCACTGTATTAACTTAATTCAGCCACTTCATTAAGTTCTAGCATAAGACTAGCTCAGTTGGTGTTACCTTGTTTCATCTGCTCATCTTCCCCTTTTAGTAAGAACACTAGAGGGTTTAATGGAATGAATTCAAGTAGATGGGGATTGCATGGCTTCTTACCATCTCAGATTTTTTTTAGAAAGGTTTCAGAAGCTCTCCTATATTTGAGAGTGCCTCCCTCAGGTATGACTGCAAAGGGAACATTCGACTAGTTAGCGGTGAGTTTTAATAGCCAGAGTAACTGGATGTTCTCATACTCAATATATACGTGTAATCCCTTTTCAAATCCCACTTAGCTCTTCATCTTAATGCCTTTTGGCAGAGAGCAGCTTAGTTTATCTTCTTTCAATATTTGTATAAACCTCTGTCATGTCCCTTGAAATGAACAGTGGTCATCTCAGTCTCTCATTTAAAAAAACTTTTCTCTGCTTGCAGTCATATTTTGTCTTCTCCTGGTCCTTTTATTGTTATGTCTAAGATGGTGTCATTTTCACCCTCCTTTTTTTCAGAAACATTTGTACGCCTTTAGCAATTGACTTTTTCAAATCACAGTACATTTGAGAAAATTGGGAAATGTTTGGAGTCGAAACTGACTTTAGAATTCTATTTCTGCAGTAGAAATTATATAGGGGCCTACTTTAATGCTAAATTCTCTGAAGTAATCTAACTGGAAAGATTGAGTTGAGAAACTTAAAATCTTAAGAACTGGTGATGAAAGTTACATAAGAACAGCTATATATTGGGTCAGACCAAAGGTCCATCTAGCTCAGTATCTTGTCTTCCAACACTGGCCAATGCCAGGTGCCCCCGAGGGAATGAACAGAGCAAGTAATCATGAAGTGATCCACCTTGTGTTGCCCATTTCCACCTTCTGACAAACAGAGGCTGGGAACCCCATCCCTATAAGCTACCTATAAATAGAAAATGGATGTTAATTCCTCATGTTAATGCATAGTTGCAGCATGGGGACCCTGCAGAAGTAACTTAGTTCCTTTTCTCCACAGATCTAGATCAAGAAGGAGTTCTCGTAGACACTATACGAGATCACGCTCTCGTTCCCGCTCCCATAGGAGGTCCCGGAGCAGGTCTTACAGTCGGGATTACCGGCGACGACACAGTCACAGCCATTCCCCTATGTCTACTCGCAGACGTCATGTTGGAAACAGGGTAAGACTCTTACCTCCAACACATTGGGATTGTTAAATTTAACTCTTCATTGGTTTGAGACTTTCAATGTGTTTGCCAGCCCCTGGAGCTAATGGGTTTATAATAGCAATCTGCTTCTGTTTTCTCTGATTTGGAAATACCTTTGTGGGTGTACTAAAATAATAATTGCCACATTTAAAATGTTACATTAGATTCTTTGAATAATTTGTGGAAGAAAGTTTTGTGATCTTAGGTGTGTATAGGTTTTGTGTTGTGTGATTTTGTTTACTGTGAGTGGGTAACTCATACTTCATTACATTAGTGTGTTGGATCTTCAGATGGTCTTTATTTGATCACATTTGGGCTTGTAAATTTGAAAGTAAACATGTAAAATTTCAGTGTGATTAAAAGTAGGGATGTTAAGTCTGTAATTCGTTAGTCGACCAAAATTTTGTTGACTGTGTTATCAGTCCATTAGGATTAGCACTTTTGGATCCAGCTTGTGCTGGGTCCCAACAACTGCCCCACTTGGCTGTATGTTAGAAGCCCATCATGAGCCAGCAGGCTGGCTCAGTCTCAACTCATGCCAAGTCCCAGCATCAGCATCTGCTGCAGCTCTGCATTATTCGGGAACTGGGGAGGCAGCGCATAGGCAGGCTCAGTTCCAGTTCAGCATGGGTCCCAATGCAGCTCTGCATCAATACTATTAATATTGGGCACTTGATTTACAGAAGTAAGTAGTGTGTGAAAGTTGTTGTTCCATTATAGCGCGAGCATGGGAATTGTGTGCTCCTTTTGTGATGAGAAATACAAGACGTCTTTTTGTGAAGGCTAAGTCTGAGGATTAGTTCCTAATATAGATGTGTTGCAAGTAAAACTAACTTTTTATCTGCCTTGAAGTCATGCCAAATCAACTCGTGCTTGTACGGTACAATACGTTGCATTGCTAAAAGTTTAAAAATCAACATAATTTTTTTATTCTTCTAGGCAAATCCTGACCCAAACTGTTGTCTCGGTGTGTTTGGGCTGAGTCTGTACACCACAGAGAGGGACCTGAGAGAAGTGTTCTCCAAGTATGGCCCAATTGCTGATGTTTCCATTGTGTATGACCAGCAGTCGCGGCGTTCGAGAGGATTTGCATTTGTGTATTTTGAAAATGTTGATGATGCGAAGGAGGTGAGTTGGGTTGTATAACATTTGGAAAATTTGCTATTCCCAAATTTCGAAAACTTATTCCTGTATAACTAGTATGTGGCCCTGTGAAATGTGGCTATTAAACTTGAGACAGTGTAGTGGGAGTCTTGGGAAAACAGAGCCACTGTGGTGAGTGCTGCCAGGCCCCTCCCCAGATAATCCCCGAGGCTGCCCCCCTGGAGGGCAGGGGTGCACTGAATACAGGCGCACATGCTCCAAGCCGCAGAGACTCTTGGGCCAGACTGTAAAAATGCTTGGCCTGAAGTTGGCCCAAGGTCTGTGAGTTTGAGATCCCTGTATTAGAGAGCCTTGTCCATACAGTGTTGAATTTGTTCCCTGACAGAAGTGCCAATTGCCATTTAGTGTCTCAAGAATGGTTTCAAGGTGATAATTGTAATAGACTTAATGGGAAAGTAAATGGAAAGGGGTATGAAGTTGATCTATGCAAATTACATTGCACTACTGGCCAGTGGTGAGGAAGCTTTGAGGCAGGCAATTGGTGCCTGCAATAGGGAACTAGCAAGCTGTAGTGCCTGTTAATGACAAATGGAAAAATTAGAAAACCCATAAGTAGATGGCCCAGATCACATAAGAGATGGTATTGGCATGCACAAGGGTGGATGAAAGGAATGCTGTTGGGGGACCTCTGAAATTATAGAGTTTGCAGGTAAAGAACAGCCAAGTAAACACGGTGAATAGACTGTAAGGGAGTATAAGAGGCTATGGAGCAAGTGATGGACTGGCAAGTTTGGAAGACTGATCCAACTGCAGCAGTCTGGGAAAGGAGAAGTAGTGGAAAAACTTGCATTAGCTGTACATTATTAGGGTAAAGTGAATCTGTTTGCAGTTAAAATTCTCTCAATCATGGTTGCTTCGCTCCAAATAGGCTAAAGAGCGTGCCAATGGAATGGAACTTGATGGGAGAAGAATCCGAGTAGATTTCTCCATAACAAAGAGGCCTCACACCCCTACACCTGGAATCTACATGGGGAGACCAACTTAGTAAGTTAATTCAGAAATGTAATCGCACAAGTGGCATAAAAATGCACATTTAGTTTACCAAGTCTGTGTGTGTTTAACAAAAAAAAAATCTGTGCTCTTCTGCCTTCCGTTGAGAATTCTGCATCCACGCAAAATCTGCTGACTTTTGTACTTTTAATTAAAAGTCCCAGACTTTCAAAAGTATACATGCAACTCTTGGCATAAAAGAATACTCCACCTTGATTTGTGTACATGTACCCAAATGTTAATAAAATTGTGCCTCTTGACATTGGGAATATATATCACACAACATCCTCAGGAGGGGAGGGAGAAAAAGCAGTTGATCTAAACACTTTCAGATAAAGCAACCATTCAAATGTCAAATGGTGGCACTTACGACTAGCAAGATAACTGCCACTCGGAGTTTAAGAAAATTACACTTATCTAGTTATGGCTGAGGAAGCAAATTCCATAACCTTTTACAAAGTCTTCATGTGGCTAGCCCTTGATTCTATGCTTTCTCAGACGCTTACAAGTAGAGATGCATTTGTGCACGATAATATTTTAGTGACTTCTAATTTTCTGTGTTTTATATAAACCATAAACAGAAATAAAAGTACATTAAATTTTTCACTTTCTGCTCCTACAATACATGAACACTTAAAAAAAAAAATCCAAGGCACAAAAAATGCATCAATTTCATTACAAAGTGTCCGTCTGCTATGTACATTGGACAAACATCTCAGACACTTCGCCAAAGGATTAATGCCCACAAAACAGATATCAGACAAGATCACAAAGAGAAAACAGTTTCTTGCCATTTTAACCAGAAAGGACACTCTCTCAATGACTTGACCACCTGCATTCTGCTACAAAGACCTTTTACATCTGCACTTGAAAGGGAATCCTCTGAACTGTCATTCATGTTAAAATTCGACACTTTCCAACAAGGACTTAGTTCAAATGTTTGTTATCTCACCCATTACCAAGATAGTTTCCCCAATTATCACCTCTAATACCATTAACTCACAAACATCCCACTCTCCCTACCTCTAATATCATCAATTCACAGACACTTACCTTCCTTCCTCCCCCTCCCCCACCCCGCATCTCCCTTCTGTTCTGCAATGTGATTTGTCCTTTTCATATTTGTTCTTTTTTTTAATTGTATCCTTTGGTATATATGGTTGTGACTATTTTCTTCCACTATTTGATCTGAGGAAGTGGGTCTGGCCCACGAAAGCTCATCATCTAATAAACCATCTTGTTAGTCTTTAAAGTGCTACATTGTCCTGCATTTTGCTTCAATTACTTTGTATCTACTTTTCCTTAATGTGTTAAGCTCTTAGCTTGCTTCTGATTGGCAGATATGACTCTGGCAGATCTATCAGCCTCATTGTTTTCCTTGGGAAATGATACCAAAAAAACCAACAGGTAGTTGGAAGCCCTCTGTGGAAGAGGCCATACCCAGAAATGTTAATGTATAGCTCTAAATCTGAGCTTAGCTAAAAAGCTTGCATTAAAAACCTTGGCTTTATACCATCAAAGGATCGTGAGAGAGAAGTCTGTTCAGTAGCTTTATAATTGAAACTGTGTTCATACAGTTTAAGTCATTACTGGCTTACTAAGAGAAATCCTTCTGACAGTTTTCTGAAACTTAGGAATAGGTGAAGGTTAGCTTAGAAAAGAATTCCTCCTGTAACTGTTAAATTTACTGTTCAGGTTAAATTTAATCCAGTTTATTTAAAGATTCCTACAACACTGTAAGCTCAGCTAAGATTGCCTGTATGAGGTATTCTGAATTTGTGGTACGTTGTTTCACTCACACAGTGGCAGCTCCCGGCGAAGAGATTACTATGACAGAGGCTATGACCGAGGGTATGATGACCGTGACTATTACAGCAGATCTTACAGGTGAGCTAATATTGACAAATACCAAAATGTGCAGATCGCCATGGGCTAGAGTTTCATCTCGAAACTCCTGCTTTTGGAAGCAAATTATTTGTATTTCTTTTGAATGTTATAACTGCACCTTTGAAACTCATTTGCAGTCACTGTTTGTTCTACAACCAAGCTCTGGTTTGTAATCTTTGGTCCTTACCACAAATAATCGTTGACTGCCATCTGGCTGTACACCAAAAATCAGGATGTCAGTGTGAATGAGAACTCTAATTAATTTCAACATAAATAGTCCATAATACTAAAACTTATTATGCAAATATATATGTAGTAGCTTAATCGTGTCTCTGCTGTGACTATTTCAGCTTTAAGTTCCTACACATCTTCTGTACATTGTCCTTATACATCCCACCCAGTCTTGCCTGCCTCTCCTTCCCTTCCCTCTCTCTCCCCAACCTGCCCCCTCCCCCCAAATAAAAAACGCCCAGAGGCAGATGTGCTGGAAGAACTGGTCTAGACCCTCTGCCACTTGCGTTTTCCCATCAGGAAGTTTAGCCATGCTCTGGGGAAACTTAGTGAACACAGTGATAAAAATAGCCATTAACACAATGCTTAGTTATGTGAAGTATAAGAGTTTCATTGTAAACAGGGTGTCTGAGATGAGTGGGGAATCGCTGGGCCCTGCACTCACATCTGCAGCCAGACGTGATTCTCAGCCAGCAGGTGGAACAGAAGATGTAGTGATTCACGCGGATGCAGCATAGAACAGACTTGTCAACTCAGACTGCATTGGCTGCTCCTGGTTCCTATCTTGGGGGGTGGAGCCTGGGCCTGGGCCCCCTCCCTGCATCCTAAGCCAGCCAAGACTAACTCGCACACCCAGCAGCCTTGTCCCCACCTGCAGGCAGCCCCGTTTTCTCCTTTGTCTCTTTCCCCGGCAAAAGGTGTTATCTGGTTGCACCCCCCACCTCAGCTCAAGTTACAAGAGAGCCTGCACTATTGTGTGCACGGTGGCCTGGGGCAGCCTTCCCCTCAGTCACACCCAAAACTCCCATCCTCAGCCTGGCATGGGTGTAGTACCCAGGGAAACTGAGGCACACGCAATTACAACAGCATAGGATAGTAGAAAAAACATGACAAGCAAACAGTGAATACAATCCCCACTTCATGTCACAGAGTCATAAATTAAACTATTCATCGTACAGCTGTCCAATGTCTCACACCCTTTGTACAAAACAGAGGGCATATGTGTCAGTTAACACCTTGGCACCCATAGTTGGATTTTCCTGTGGGTAAAGCCTGTTGCTTCAGAATCCACCTTCACAGGAACTAACTGTAGGATATAAGATCAAACAAATTTAGGGAGAAAGTGAAACTTTAGACATGAGCAATTTCACTGGATTGTAGCTAATTCTCTGTAGACTGCAATGATGCTCTAGGAATTTTCAGTTCTGTGTTTCAGATATAAAGATGAGAGGGCAAATGCTGTAGTAGCAGTGCTAATGAGGCATAATAGCGGTTTTATTTTGCAGAGGATTTAAGTCTGACAAATGGAGCATGGTTGTACTTAGCTATGAACATTCAGCCAGACTAACACATGCTGCGGTAGATACATTATAGAACGGTTTGAAATAGAACATGTGACTTTAGCCAATTTGTGGTGGAGGTCTTGATGAAAAGTGCCATGTGTTGCACCTGGATCTTCAGATTACTTGCCTGAGCAAAGTTGGACCATGTCATAGTCAAGACAAAATTTAAAAGTTGTTAAGCTAGTTCATTTTCTCTGTGTGTGGGTGTGTGGCCAGTGTGTGCAGTGTTTAGTAAGATTTTAAATCTGAGGCTGTCTTATTCCTTTGCCTTGGTCACACTATCCCTTTTGATCAATTATTTCCCTTTGTCCTTTTTCCTGCCTCTCCTCCTAGGACAAACCTTACTTTATTTTGTCTCATTATGTAATTGGTTGTGCTTTCTTACTTCTAAATCTGAAATTTTTGGAGGGTCAAAATACCCTCCAAATGTTACTTTGTTTATTCTCAGAACTTTCCCTCAATGGATGTTATAGAAGAGCTTATATTAATACAGGCTTGATAGAATCTCACCAACTTCCCGAAACTGCTCCTACAAGAGAATTCCTTAGGGTCAGTTATGGTCCTGTATGATCTAACTAGCTTTTATATTATAGATTTAACGCTTTGTTGTCCTTGTTTTATACCTTTGAAAATAAGAGTGCAAAAAAGATTATTTTGGTTCTGTTTTCACAGAGGAGGTGGCGGCGGTGGCGGCGGCGGCGGAGGATGGAGAGCTGCCCAAGATAGGGATCAGATCTACAGGTATGCTAGGAGAGGATTTACTATTCAGAGAGTATTAGAAATGTTCATGAAACAGCCTGTCTAAACATATTCAACCATCTGAGGCCTAATGTGCATTAAAATAAAACGGGGTAGACACTGAACAAAAACAGGTGGCCCTGAGCCAAAAATAAAACGGGGTAGACACTGAACAAATACAGGTGGCCCTGAGCCACCCCGGAAGGGGCGGGGCCAGGACACTTTCGTGCTTCCCCCTCCCACATACCCTGATTGGTCTGGGGGTGGGGGAGCAGGCAAAGTCTCTCCCTTCTTCTCCCCCTCCTCCTCCACACACACAACTGCCAGCAGTTCCCTCTAGGTATGCATGCTCCCTCCTGCTGCCCCCGGGTCAATCAGAGCCTGGGGAGAGGGAGCACATGAAGTCTCTTGTTCCCTGCTCCTGTACTGCAAGGGGGTGCCCTTCTTAGAATCAACCACCAGCTGAGCAGTAGCTCAGGGCATCCGTGGGCTGGATCAACTTGCTTGTCGGGCCGGATGCAGCCCACAAAGGCCCTTTTGCCCACCGCTGCTGTAGACATTAGTGCTAGTAGACAGGCCATGGGGAAGAAACAAATGTAGAAAGCCTTGGTAGAGGAGTGAACCTAATTTTGAACCACCACGGATCCTGGGACTGGGCGACAGGGAGTGGATCGCTCAATTATTGCCCTTATTTTGTTCATTCCCTCTGAAGTATCTGACACTGTTGGAAGACAGGGTACTTGGCTAGTTGGATCACTGGTCTGACCATTAAGTTCCAGAACCTTTGCTGACTTCCAGGTAGCATCCGTCACTACACTCTATAGCTGTTCCTATGTCAGCTCAGCAGTGCATGGGTTTCAGTGAATCGGCTGCTAATTATAAATGTTGCACAGGCTGCTGGAGTGCATGTGTCACAAGATCAGCCTTAAATTCCTGGTGACGAGTTTTCATGGCATGCACACTAATTGCCAGCACTAGGAGTGTTGAATGAAAATTGGAACTTGGTACTTGGTGATAGCATTTGAACTGATGTGTCACAGTGTTAAATACTGTGATGCCTGAATTGGCCTAATTATTATGTTAATCCTTTCCACAGGAGAAGATCACCATCCCCATACTACAGCCGAGGAGGTTACAGATCTCGCTCCAGATCTCGATCCTATTCACCTCGTAAGTCTTGTTTTAGAATTGGCTGTGTCACTGATTGGATGATGACTTGCATGTAGATAAAAAACATGACTCTCTCTACTGGGACTTCAATAGTCTCATCTAGTTAACTCTGGTGGGGGGAGACGCGCACTAATAGTTCTTCAAGCAAGTTGACCACCTTTTCAGAACAAGGCAAATGTCAGTTTTACTCCTAATCTGTCTCCTAGCGATGCATAACTTTCCCCTTAAACTCTTGAGAGACCCAGTTGCACCGTATTGTCACATCCTGGGTTAAGATTTTGGTTATGCCTCTGTAGACCAGATCAAACAATCCTGACAGAGGCTGAGCTGTTGTGACTGAGTTTACCAACATGGCACCTTTGTAGACAGCAAACACTTTATTTAGCGTATCTGTGTCAGCATGTGTTCATATGGGTAGGTTCTGTTTTAAATAGAATGCAATACAATTATTACGCAGTCTTAAGTAGGGATGTTAGATCGCCTTTAATCAGATGGAATTTCCATCGACTAGTCGATTAGTTGATATCTGGAGGGAGCTGCAGAAGCAGGCTTTTAATACATTTAAAAGACTGAAGCGCCTGGTCCCCTGCTACACTTCTGCCTCTACCTCCCCTGCATGGATGGTGCTGTGAGGGAACTGGCTTTTAAGCCGGTGGGTGGGGAGGCTAGTCAAGTCACTGCTTGACTACCCAATAAGCATATGCTTATCCGATAGTTGACAAGTCGCTTACATCCCTCCCTAGTCTTAAGAGTTGTGTGAATAATGTTCCCACATTTGTTGTTAATAAACATGAAAACATCCTTGTGCCATACATAATAATCTGCATAGAATCTGTTCTTTCTTGATACCTTGAAACACCAGTCTCCTGATATGTCAGTATCTGAGGATGTATGTACTCAGGGAAGTTCAGTGCTATCGTTATGCTAGGTTCAAACAATATTTAAACTCAATTTCCTTGTGTGGATAAGCCTTTGAATTTGTTACCTACTTGAACAAGGTGATCTACAGGCTTTTACTGATACTCAGTTACAAAACGAATATTATATATACGTATATACTTTTTCTTTCAGGTCGCTATTGAAACATGAAGTTGAGAGGAATTTCTGGCTACAGCCCTGGAGCTGGGATCGCAGATATGTGGACAATATTTTTATTGTCTATTCTGTTTAAAAAGTGAGCAGTGCCTAGTGACTAGGTGACTTTTACACCTTTTATGAAGACTACTTTTTGGTGAAGTTAATGCTGTTTCATTCCGCATATCTGTGTAGTTCGGTGCTTTGTTCAGAGTTGTGTTTTTGAAGAGTATGTTTTGCATGATTTTTTTAGTCAAAATTTTGACTGCTGAAAGGTTTCTATTATACAATACTGTTCATTTAAAGTTTTTTCTACTGATTCCAAGGTATTCTGAAGATCAAAACCTGTGTAAACCGCTTTGAAATGGTAAAAAAAAAAAATAAACAGTTTGATTTTTACTTCCCAAATATTACACGTAGCCATTATGATCTGTGTTCCACCAACTCTCAAATTCAGTAGCTCTTTTAACTACGAGAAAAGTCATCGTCCTTCTCCACAATCTGCCAGAATATGCATCGTTCAAAGTCCATCAATAAAATGTTAAGTTTGTAGTCCTATTTCCAGAGGGGGGGAGGAGGGAGTTGCGTCTACAAAATCACTGCTTTGTGACCTGTAAATAGGTGCTCGTTTGAATGTCAGACAAGGCAAGTCTTACATGTAACCTCTACAATAGCAGGAGGGAGGGTGTAAGTTGTTTACCTGGAGAATGACTCTTTATACTTTGAAGAATTTGTCAAGAACTCCTAAATGATCAGAGCTAGGACCACCAAATTCAACGTACAGTTTCCTCATTATAATGTGAAGGAACGTTAAGGGCATAATTGTGCCTGGAAAATGGAGAAATTCGGCTGTTTTGTCGCAGCTAAATCAATGCTTAAGGTTTTCAGATGAGATGAGATTGTTAAAATTTTTCTGTTTAGTACATTAAAAAATGGGAATTCCATCAAGTGTATTTTTTCCCTTCATCCTAATAAATGCTTAGCATTCACTATGTTTTAACAAAAAAGGGCCAGTCAATTTGGTTTCCAGTAACAATCTAAATAAAATAACTTAATAAAAATAACGCTATTTTTTTAAAGTAAATTTTCCTTTAAATCCTCCTCCTCCCCCTCCTTCCCCCCCACACACAAAAAAAACCCCCTCAAAACCTTAATTGACATGAGCCTGAGCAATGCCGGTTAAATCTACTAATACATTAAAACTATGGTAATGTTTGAGCTTTCAGTTGGCTCTCGGGTGATACATTCTACTCCACATAGCACATTTTGTCCGCATGTTTGTGAATGAAAGCATGTGCTTTATTAGGAGGGTTGAGCAGGGAATGGATGTCACTGGAGTAGACAGCATTTACACAACAAATGGGGCATAAAACCAGAAGTTCATATCTGTGAGGTTTTTACTTACCAAAGGTGAACAACTGAACTGCTTGGATTCTTAAGTGGAATTATTGCTTGAAAAAGCAGCTTTTGTAATACTCGGGGCTTTGCATAACCTTTTAAATCTCTGCAGTGGTGAAGACCATGAATGAACAGAACTAGCCCATTAGTTCACTACTCTCTGAAACAAGTAGCTTTACTGCCACGCTTCTATTGAAAGTTTTTTGTTGTTGGCTGTGCTGCTTGCCATCAATGCATTTCTCACCCATTCACAAAAATAAGAGCTGCAGCACATGTCCCCACCCCCTGTCCAGGCAGGACTGTTCCCTGCATATGAAGTTGGGGAACTTTTTAAAGGAAGGTGAAGAAAAATGGGGGGGAGGGGAGCCAAACCAAGGATGAAAAGAGGGAGGAGGCGGCAGTTCTAAGGTGTGGATTTCTTAGCTTTAGTCCTAATGCGATCTACAGAGGTAGTGCCGGAACCCTAAGCCTGCTCAGTGGTCCCCTGTTTATACTGCCAAAGATCACAAGCCAAAGATCTTAAACCACCAGCACCGCGCATTCGGAGCTTACAACCGGAGGCTTGTATAGAATTGACTTTCCCCGTTATAACTTACCATGCCGCCATCACTTCAGCAGGGACTTCTCTCCCCACAAGTGGCTGCTTCACCCGGAGGTGAGGTTCTCCCCTATTTGCCCGCAGGCAGAACAAAGTGCCATCAGTTTTGCTCCTGGTGGGGACTGGGCCAGGCCTTTCTCTCCAATGCCATCCTCCTGTGCTGGGTTGGGGGTCAGCTGTACACTTCCCAGCTGATCCCTCCCATCAGCCAGGCCCTAGTAAAGATCAGCTGAGACAAAGAACTGGTTCTCTTGATCGCATTGGCCCCCAGAGCGTTCTCCAAGATGCTGTGGAAAGAGGTGGCATCCATGTTCTCGGGGCATCATGATTTTTTCCCAGCCTGGATGATTGTCTGCTCGGGGCACAGTCCTTTGGAGAGGCACAAGTAACTCAGACCCCACATGATGGATTTCTGAGACTGGGCTTACAAATCAAACTAGCGTTTTAGGAGCCAACCTCATCTCTGCTTAGGTGAGGGCTCTCTTACCACATCACAGATTTCGCCGTCTCTCCTCGCTGATTGCCATAGTCTGCAACTCCCATGGTCATGCTCTTGGACTGGTTTCAGCTATGTCTGTCCCCTCCCCTTGCTTCCACAGGTTCTCAGACAGGTATGTTGTGCCAAGGCCAGCGTCTTTCTAGCACCATATTGGCCCAGACGGTTTTAGTTCTGCCAGTGTCAGCCCACCCACCAATCAAACTCCACCCTTTCCCAGAACTCCTGATGCACCACGAACTGAATCAACCATCCCAATCTGGGCACACTCACCTGACAGCCTGGGGTTTGGATGCCCTCACCCCCCAGTCCAGGCTGTACTAACCCAGAGCAGAGAAGATTTGACTAAGACCTGCTATTTGGCTGTATGAAAGTGTTTCCCACCCTGGGGACAGCACAGTCCATCTTGGTCTCTTCAAGCATCCCGCTCCTTTTGGACTTCCTCCAGTAACCAGGTGTTCTCTATCCACCCAACTACGACGCGATTCATGAAAGGCCAGTGTTGAAAGCAACACAGCTACGGGATCTTACCCTCGTGCTGTCAAAACTTACTAGAGCTCGGTTTGAAATCTTAGTGGCACGTTCCACATCCGAGCTGTCCATGAAGGTGGTGTTTCTATTGGCTGTCCCATTAGTCAGGTCAGCAGATCCTCCCTCCAGAAGGACAGGGTAGCTCTTTGCCTTCACTCCAAATTTCTCCTCAAGATAACTGCCGAATTTCACCTTAACCAGCACAGACATTGACCTGGTTTCCAAAAGCCATGCTTCTCCAGAAGGAGACTTCTCTCCCTTGAGGTCTGGCATGTGCTGGTTTCTTTTGCCCGTGAAGAGCTAAACCCATCCGAGAACTCTTCGTTGCAGTATGGGAGAGACCCCCCCCATGCCAAGCTATATCCTCTCAAATGATTTCTGGTGGCATTAACAGGTGCTGCAGACTAGCTCACCTCCCACCTCCTGATGGCATAATGTCCCACTTTCCTGAGAGCACAGGCTGCCGCCGGAGCCTCCCTGCAGGAGGTCCAAATGCGGGACTTCTACAGAGCAGCCACCGGGAACTCCATACCCGTGTTTTTAGATGTGCACTAGTCCAGGTTGCAGTGAATGCAGCCATGGGAGCTCTGGTACTGCACGCGTCTTGCACCCTTCTCCACTCTGAGCGCTGCGTGTCGATCACCCCCACGTGGAATACACGCAGGGACCAGCAATGGAGGTTTTCCTGCGACAACGTTCTCTGAGCTGTGGGGGCCTGGCCTGTCTCCCACTCCCCACCCTCCTTCCCCTCTGCTGCAGATCTGGGTGGATTTGTGGTGAGACAAGGAACTGAAGTGACATCAGCCCATGCAGCGTATTCTACAGCCACGGCTGTGGGGTCTTCTACCTTTGGTAGTTGAGTGTGCCAGCCCTTGCCCAGCCTAGGGCGATCTTCAGGGCTTTCCTGCCCTCCCTCTCACTGCCTTCCGCTGCAGCCCCAAAAGAGCGAGCTCCAGCCCTTTCCTGGCCCTAGTCCCGTGGGGCTGGGCTCTCCGTAGAGCCCTGGTTGGGAAAGATCAGCCCCAGTCACGAAATGTCTGCTGAGCTCCGTTCGAGAACAAGGCCCTCTGCTCCCTGGCCCTTGCAGGGACAGACTGCCCTGCTACACTAGCCAAGCATCTCAGCCTGTCGCGTAACCCCCGAATCGTCCCACCGCCCAGCAGGCTGGCTTCCCTGTGTCTGTTGCTGGATTGCCTGAGTGGCCGGAGGAATGTTCAGACAGGTGCCGAGGCCGTGGGTGGCACAGAACAGCTCAGAGGGAATAGTGAGTCTCCTTTTCAAACCGCAAAGAGAGAAGGAAACCCAGAAGATGCCAGAGAGCGCGGCTCTGCTTCTCGCAGCTGCTGGGAGAGGGGAGGAAGCGGCACCAGACGTTGCATGGTCTTCACCTATCCCTAGGAAGCAGCTCATCAGTTTCAGAACGGGCAGGGGCTATCAGTGTGGGAGATCAATGCCAGTAGGGGCACGGCCAGTCCTCTCTCCTCCACCAGCAGTTCTCGCCCTCCTGCCTCAGCTCTTGGACCCCATGTAGGTAGAACGAGGTGGTTATCAAGTTGCTCTTTGACGACGTCCTTATCGGCACCTAGTTTCAGCGGGGCAACAAATGGAGGCCGGACACCCGTGGATCGTAGCTCAGCGTCTGCTA